AGTAAACTCCACTCCATCGGCCTCCATGACTCTGCTCTTTCCTGGTTCTCCTCTTACCTTTCTCAGCACACTTTCAGTGTCATATACAACTCCTCCTCCCTTCTGTTGGGGTACCCCAAGGTTCTGTCATTGGGCCCCTCCTTTTCTCTCTCTATACCTCCTCCCTGGGCCAACTGATAACCTCCCATGGCTTTCCAATACCACCTCTATGCTGATGACACCCAGATCTATCTCTTTGCTCCCCAGCTCACCCCCTCACGTATCACAAATCTACTAAGCAACATATCAGCATGGATGTCACATCACTACCTCAAACTTTCCAAAATTGAGTTTGTAATATTTCCTCCTCCCTGATCCCCCATTCATGACTTTACCATTAAGATCAACAGCACAACCATTGGTCCTTCCCTCATGCCAGGGTGCTAGGCATAATCCTAGACTCTGACCTCTCCTTTGGGCCCCACATCCACTCACTGGCTAAATCCTGCCGCCTCAACCTCCGGAACATTTCCAAAATCCACCCCTTTCTGACCAATGACACCACAAAACAACTTATCCACGCCTTGGTTATATCCCGCCTTGATTACTGCAAGTCCCTACTCACTGGTCTACTGTTACACAGGCTATCCCCCTTCAGTCTATTATGAATGCTGCTGCTAGACTCATACATCTTACCAACCGATCAGCGACTGCTGCCCCTCTCTGCCAATCCCTCCACTGGCTTCCACTAACCCAACATATAAAATTCAAAATACTAACCACAGCTTACATCTGCCCCTAGCTACATTGCCAACATCATCCACAGATACCGCCCACTCTGGTCCTCCCAAGATATCTTCCTCTCTAGCTCCCTCATCACCTCCTCCCACACTCGCCTCCAGGACTTCTCCAGAGCCTCTCCCATCCTCTGGAACTCCCTCTCCACAGCATGTCTGGTCAGCTCCCATCCTCTGGAACTCCCTACCACAGCATGTCCGGTCAGCCCCCACCCTGTCTGCCTTTAGGCGATCTTTGAAAGCTCACTTCTTCAGGGAAGCCTACTCCACCTAAGAACTGTACTCGAATCACCTCCATCAGATCACCCCCTGCAGCTATCACCTTTTGTATCACCTCCCTCTTCCTTTAGATCGTAAGCTCCACAAGCAGGGCCCTCACATTCCTTCTGTACTGAAATGTATTGTAATTGTACTGTCTCCCTTATATTGTAAAGCGCTGCGCAAACTGTTGGCGCTATATAAATCCTAAAAACGTGTAAATAAGTAAGCACCTTCTGGATAGCAGCAGCTGTACACCAAAGGCACCATACAAGACCTTCTAATAAACAATAATATACAAAAAGGTGCAGCGCTATATAAATCCTGTATGATAATAATAATAGTAATAAATTGAAATAAGATTAGTTTTGTTCTTAAAAAAGGGCCAGTGATAAAATACACACCTGAATAGGCATTTCAACAGACCACACATACATACTGATGTGGGTAGTTTATTTACACAAATTACAAAGCAAAATAAGTGTTCTGCCTGCTAAATGAGTTAAACTGGAGTGTTGCAGTCCCAGCAAATAAGGCAGACAGTAGCGTTAAGTCACAAAAGGTTTACACAAATGTTTGGCACAAAAACATCAGAAAAATGCAGACAAGACAAAAGTAAGGTGCTAAAAAGGGAAACAACTGAGGCAGGCCCCTTGGAATCGTGGAGGAGCTTATTTCCCCCTCCCCCAGGTGGGACCAACAAAGAAGAGACTGAAGTCAACAAGCCAACTAGAAATCTGCAATTTCCTATAGGCACAAAGTGGTTTCTGGTGAACTAGCTCAGTTTACTACTGTTGTGTCCAGTGAGTGGGCACATATAAGATGAGCCATATTCTGGTGACCAGTTCCAACATCCTGACATATGTCAGTAAAGGCCAGGCAGTGAAATCCTTGTGTTTCAAGGCTCTCATTCACTTACATTGATGAATACAGAAGACCTAACCACCCCTTGATTTGTCATCAATCAAGTGAATCAAAAAAAAGTCAGATAGTTTGCAGAAAAGCTGTTCATTCACCAGAATGAATCAAGCCAATACCTCTCCTGAATTGCAGTAAGTCCTTGAAAATAAAAAAACGAGCCACAGCCTACAGTTCTTTCATCAAGCCATTATCAAACCATACATGTGAATGAAATCTTTTGGCTGCCAGGAACCATGTGTACATGTCTAATCCCATGCCTATTTAGTTGTAAGCCACAGATTCTTAATTTCACCTACCATGGCCAATGTGAAGTCAATAGTCCACACCGGCAGAGAAAATCGCCTGCCCAGCTATTGTATTCAAACAGCTAGCACCCACAGTCAGAATACCCAAACAGCTAGCTAGCTACAGTCAGAATAACCAAACAGTGACTGCATCTGAAAGGAAGCAATCACTATTTGGTAGGCAATTTTCTACCTGGCTCCTTCGCCAAAAGTCAAGCCAGGTGATTTCAAACAGGGCCACCCATGGTAGAGATCATAAAATTAGTCTATGGTAACCTTAACAGTGTACAGATTCATCAGAAAAAGTTTGTACACTTTGGATCTGTCCTTGCTGTAGCCTCCTGCGCAGCCATACTACTCAGCAGAGAAAGCCTGGCAAGGAGCTAAAGTCCCGTCCCGGTCTTGGGAAAATTTCTATTTAGTAGGACAATCGGAACATTAAATAAAAACACAAATTGAGGTAACTTGAGAGGATTTTGACTTGTGACAAGGTTTCTTAATTACTTTAACAGTTTGTTATGGTTTTATTTGTTGACTTGACTTTCTGCTTAATTGCTCTTATTTAAAAAGTTGATGATTCCACAGTCTTGCTTTACATGATCACATTTGTCAGAAGGGTGGAACTGAGCTGGAAAGAAATACAGCTGTGACTGTATCATAATCACACATTCTCATTAAATGGTCAATTTCAGTCAAACCCATTACAAAACATTGCTGCCATATTTTAAAGGCAATACATGGCAATGTGTTATTTTCTTTATCCAATATTTTTCTTTATCCAATATTTTTCAACTGACTATTAGATCACAAGCTTAAAACCCAATCAGAATTCAAACATGCTATTTTTGCTTTAGAATAAAATTTTAAACATTTAAAATATTCTAAAATTCTCTGGAGTAAGTGTCTAAATTAGTATTTTTAAAACTACTTTGATTTCAGAACTTTGCTAAAATTAAAAGGGAATAAAAGCAAAATCGATCCATGGTTGGAGAACATAGATATAATACAAGAAATCCACCTAGCACTGCAATAGAATGATGAATAAGACTCCAGGTAAGCTTTTGCTTAAAAAAGGATAAGTTCACCTTTTGACAAAAATAATAAAATGCAAATTTTTTTTTCTACAAAAAAAAAAAAAAAAAAAAAAAAAAAAAAAAAAAAGGACGTAAATGCACTTGAACTTTAGCAGTACAAAGATGTCCTTGCTTCCTCTACTAATCAACTTTTTGGCATTTACCTTCTTTAGGGTTTCGGGGATATTTTGATATGCGGTCTATCCGTGCATATGCGAATATTGTGTATTTACACGTTTATGGATAGGTAATCTTGTAACGCATGCCTTATGAATAAAAATACAATCAGCCATTTTATTATTTTTTTTTTTAAGAAAAACCAATGAAAAAAGATCACTGGAATTTGAGGTAAATAGAAAATAACCACCATTAAAAGTATTCATTAAACCCATTAAGTCCTGGTTCATATGTGTGCAGACCCATTCATTTGAATGGGCTGCTATGCCTGCGTTTTCTACAAAAAAGGTGCATATACCTTTTTAAAAACACAGCCATGGGGAAATCACATGGTCTTTCTGACCATGCGATTTCCCTGTGGTTCCTGCACCCGTAAATGTGCTGCAGGCTGAGATGCATGGGGGGTGCCATTCATAATGAATGGCAGTCCTGCCAATCTCCTAACAGCAGTGTGAATTCAGCTGCAAGTGGTTGCGAGTGCGTGAGCAGATGCGATTTCCACACCCACAAGCAGCCCACACAGTGTGAGCTAGAGCTAAAGCAGAAATGATGGAATTAGAAGCTGTGGCATGTGGCAACCCAGGAACTTGGCCAAAAGTTTTTTGTTCTTACTCATTAACAGTTGGAGAAAAAGTGGATGTTGTACCCATCAAACTCTGTGTTGTGGTTTTAAATACAAGACAGGTAAGAAATATGGGGTTACTGCATCCAGTCACATCCTACCTATAGCATACCCAATAGCAGTTTTTGCCAACTGTAAAGGCCCCTGGACTCATAATTAGAGATTAGCTCAGCCCACTTAAAAAGGGCAAGTTCATCTTTACCAAAAATCTGCATATGGAGGTAAGGGGCATTAGTAGATTAAAAAATAAACTGTTCAGCACTGACAAAACCTGAATAAGACCCTTGCTAAGCCTTACTGAAAAACTCCCAGAGATGGCATCACATCCTGCCTTGCTGCTCGGACATTGCTAAGATAATTCCAATTGATGCAAACCCAATTTTCATGTGTTTTCTCTCACTTTCGCAGTAGACCTCAATGATGTTGCAATGGAGGAGAAAGTGGACCACACTGTGCAGGGATTTGCAAGCTCGCTCCTGTGATGGTGGGGGGTGAGCAGTAATAGCTGGGAGTAAAAAACTGCAGTTTTTTACTCCTACATGCACATTAAGTTTTTTGGTGAAAGTGAACTAACCCTTTAAATCTCTGCAGTATATGTGACACATACATAGTAAACCGGTCTCTTATTTTGGACCACAATGACTTCCTAGCTCTGTTCAGTATCAATGAGTATGTAGTAGCTGACAAAATTAAGGCAGGTCCAAACAATGCATATTTTGGCAAATGATATGTACCTAAAAGGGTTGGGTATCTTGATAGTCACAATATAACCATGAAGAACAACACACTGAAGGAGAAGGAGTGTATACATAGAATTAAGACACTTCAGCCTCTTTCTGTGAGGCTGAGAGACAGACTCATATTCAAGTAAGAAATGTAGTTAGGAGGTTTTCCAGACTCTGTTCAGGACTTTAACTACTTCTTCATAAATAACAAACACAATAGCAACATCCAGGCACACTCTGCCCAAGCGAGGGATGGTCCCCTTGTAGAACCTAATGGTGGGGGGAAAAGTACACAGTCAACAACTTTTACAATTCTGATCAAAAAGTTATCATTTGTCAAAACTATGAAAATTGAGAACAGATGTAACCAATTTACAGGAACAATTAGGAATACTTACGCTAAAGGCCCCTCTTTACGTAGGATTTGGCTTGCACAGTCAAGCGTGTTCTTATATTTATGAGCTTCTAAGCCCTGGCAATTGGAAAATAATATTACTTCTTGGAATTTAAAAAAAAAAAAAAAAAAAAAAAAAAAGAAGGACAACAGTGTTTTGAAACTGAATTCCAGGAAAAACACTTAATTTAAATATATATACAGTATACGCAAGTTGTCATACGCACGAAAATATTTGTAATTTGGTTCCAAGTTCCAGGTAATACAGCCTCTCTTTACTTTTTAGCACAATTAATGGACACATTTTCCAACATTAAAACTACATTAGTCCACCCTTCCTAGTCACTATTAATTTCTACGGTCAGTTGTTTTGTAGTTCAGCAGTACATCTTCTAGTGACCTACCCTTACCCAAACTACCAAAACCAATGATTTTGAGACAAATGCAAGAGTGTACACACCCTGAAACACCTGCCCGAAGAAGGCAGGTACAAACTTGCATTGAGGGACCATGTATCACCTCATTATCAAGTACGGAGGAGAAACCAGGGCCTCCCACAGGGATCACTAAATCATAGATCTTGTAAAGGCCTTTGCCACACAAGCCAACACAAGATGGTCCAGAAAAACCTGGTTCAAACACGGGGTTGTGAATACATTCATAAACATGCCTTTTAAAAAGGAAAACCACACTACTCAAAAAAATTAAAAAAAAGGAACACTTTAAAAAAAACAAAAAAAAAAAAAAAAAACACAACATCAGATCTCAATGGGGAAAAATATCATGCTGGATATCTATACTGATATGGACTGGGTCATGTGTTAGGAATGTAAGGATGCCCCATTGTCTGATGGAAATGAAAATTATCAACTTACAGAGGACTGAATTCAAAGACACCCCGAAAATCAAAGTGAAAAGATGCAGCAGGCTAGTCCATTTTGCTGAAATTTCATGCAGCAGCAACTCAAAATGGTACTCAATAGTTTGCATGGCCCCCACGTGCTTGTATGCATGCCTGACAACATCGGGGCATGCTCCTAATGAGACGACGGATGGTGTCCTGGGGTATTTCCTCCCATATCTGAACCAGGGCATTACTAAGCTCCTGGACAGTCTGAGGTGCAACCCGGCGATGTCAGATGGACTGAAACATGATATCCCAGAGGTGTTCTATTGGATTTAGGTCAGGCCAGTGTGGGAGCCATTTGATGGTATCAATTCCTTTATCCTTCAGGAACTGCCTGCATACTCTCGACACATGAGGCCGGGCATTGTCATGCACCAAGAGGAACCCAGGACCCACTGGGCCAGTGTAGGGTCTGACAATGAGTCCAAGGATTTCATCCCATTACCTAATGGCAGTCAGGGTGCCATTGTCTAGCCTGTAGAGGCCTGTGCGTCCCTCGATGGATATGCCCCCCCCCAGACCATCACTGACCCACCACCAAAACGGTAATGCTGAATGATGTTACAGGCAGCATGTTTTCCAAGGCTTCTCCAGACCCTTTCACATCTGTCACATGTGCTCTGGGTGAATCTGCTCTCATCACTCACTAGTGGCAGACCTGCCAATTCTGGTATTCAATGGCAAATGCCAATGGAGCTCTATGGTGCAGGGCAGTGAGCACAGGGCCCACTAGAAAACGTCTGGCCCTCAGGCCACCCTCGTGAAGTCTGTCTCTGACCAAGCAATCCGAAACAGACTTTCACACCAGTGGCCTGCTGGAGGTCATTTTGTAGGGCTCTGGCAGTGCTCATCCTGTTCCTCTTTGCACAAAGGAGCAGATACCGGTCCAGCTGACCTGCTATGGCCCTGTCCAGCTCTCCTAGAGTAAATGCTTGTCTCCAGGAATCTCCTCCATGCTCTGGAGACTGTGCTGGGAGACACAGAAAACCTTCTGGCAATGGCACGTATTGATGTGCCATCCTGGAGGAGTTGGACTGCCTGTGCAACCTCTGTAGGGTCCAGGTATTGCCTCATGCTACCAGTAGCGACACTGGCCCTAGCCAAATGTAAAACTCATGAAAAAAAAAAAAAAAAAAAAAAAACAATCAGAAAACAAATTAGTAGGGAAAAATATTTCAGTGGCCACCACCTGCAAAACCATTCCTGTTTTGGGGGTCGTCTCATTGTTGCCCATTTAGTGCACCTGTTAATTTAATTAACACCAAAGCAGCTGAAACTAATTAACAATCCCCTCTGCTACTTAAGTGACCAGATCAATATCCCAGGAGTTTAATTGACTTGATGCTATACTCTAATTAAAAAGTGTTCCTTTAATTTTTTAGAGCAGTGTACATTAGATTAGAGTAATTATTCTCCCCAAGTTCCCTAGGGTTTTACTTTTTCTTATAAGATGTATAAAATCTTTATTTTTACAGGTAAACACTTATTATTTTAGTTACTAGCCTCTGCAAAACCTTTTTTTTTTTTTTTTTTTTTTTTTTTTTAAAGCAAGACAGCTAAGAGCAAACAAGTTTACATGTAACAAGCCGCCTTAATCCCCACCTGCAGGCTGTAAACTCAGCCAGTAGAAGGAAAGAAAAATCACTCCATTCCCCCATCAATACAGTCAGTCATATACTAGTTATGCAGATTCAACAAACACAGATGTTGCAGACATAAAAAGTTACCTGCATTCTGGTCTTGATAACATCTAAAGGTGTATTTCCAAAAACGCTGGCAGCCCCAGCAATGGCCCCAAAGGACCCAGTGATAATGGGATGAATGGTTTTGTTAGGATCATCTCCTGAAAAAGACAATATTCACGAATGCTTAGGAAGAAGCATCCTAAGATTGTTACTGAGAGAACTGCAGATAAATTAGTGGACATATCTGTGATATTATTATGTAGGATATTATTAATTCAGAATACATGCACGGTTTGCTCCTTTATTATCCATGTCATTCAAGTCCCGTATTTTTCGCTCCATAAGACGCACTTTTTTCCCCCCAAAAAAGGGGGGAAAAATGTGAGTGCGTCTTATGGAGCGAATAAAAAGCGGCCGGTCCTGGTATTTTCGCCACCACCACCATGTCAGAATACCGGGCTGGCCGCTCAGGTGTTCTCTGCGGCAGGAACTCACCTGTTCCTCGGTCCAGCGCTGTAGTCTTCCCGAGCCGGCTTCTTCCCCGCCCCCGGCATCTGTGACAGCCGGGTGCCCACTGCGCATGCGCGAGAAGCGCTGTGCTTTGTGAATGGTCTGGTGTCTTCTGGGACACATGACAGGTCCCAAAAGACGCCGGACGATTCACAAAGCGCAGTAATTCTCACGCATGTGCAGTAGACACCCGGCTGTCAAAGTCGGGTGCCCACAGTATAGGAAGGAGAACTCGGCGAAAGTGGGAGCGGGTACCTGTCAAATTCAGGTACCCGCTCCCCCTCCCTCCCTAAAGGTCCGCAGCCTCTGGCCATCCCCTGTACCATGTCCGCAGCCTCTGGCCATCCCCTGTACCATGTCCGCAGCCTCTGGCCATCCCCTGTACCATGTCCGCAGCCTCTGGCCATCCCCTGTACCATGTCCGCAGCCTCTGGCCATCCCCTGTACCATGTCCGCAGCCTCTGGCCATCCCCTGTACCATGTCCGCAGCCTCTGGCCATCCCCCTGTACCATGTCCGCAGCCTCTGGCCATCCCCTGTCACCATGTCCGCTCCCCTCTGGCCATCCCCTGTACCATGAACCGCAGCCTCTGGCCATCCCCTGTACCATGTCGCAGCCTCTGGCCATCCCCTGTACCATGAACGCAGCCTCTGGCCATCCCCTGTACCATGTCCGCAGCCTCTGGCCATCCCCTGTACCATGTCCGCAGCCTCTGGCCATCCCCTGTACTACGTCCGCAGCCTCTGGCCATCTCCTATACTACGTCCGCAGTCTCTGGTCATCTCCTGTACTGTGTCTGCAGTCCATTGGTTCAGAATATTTTTTTTTTCTTGTTTTTCTCTTCTAAAACCTAGGCACGTCTTATGGAGCAAAAAATACGGCACATTTGCAAATATAACCTTCACCCTTTTCAAAGATATCATCACTTGTCCTGCCAATTCAAATCTTCTCAGATTTTATGGCATAGTCCTTTACAGACTTCAGTCTCTACATACTCTGAATTATATAGAAGAAGGTCAGCCCCTACACCAGTGGTGTCCAAACTGTGGTCCAAGGGCCGAATGTGGCCCTTTGCTAGCCTTTATCTGGCCCTTGGGGCACTATTCCTCTGACATCAACAGTGGGGCATAATTCCTGCCCCGACACCAATGATGGGGTATTATTCTTCACACTAATACCAATGATGGAGCACTACTCCTCCTGTTTCTGACCACCAACCCCTAGGGCATGTTTATTTTCACTAATACTGGGCCCAGGACATTTTCTACCCCACTGGCCACAATCTGCCCCCCCCCCCCCCCCCCCCCCCCCCAAAGTCTGAAGGACAGTAAATTGGCCCTTTGTTTGAAAAGTTTGGAGACCCCTGCCCTACACTCTTGGTTGTAAAGCATCAGCAGGGGTGTATGCATACCTAAAAAGATCCATTCTTCAATAGAAACCGTTTTCTCTCTCCACCTCCGCCCAGTGGTGCACTTTTTTGTATGTACTTTAAGATATTTCAATAAAAGACAAACATTGTATATAATCATTTTAGGCTGCTGACATTGAACAATCATGGAGGATTTATAACAACTACGCACTTTGATTGTTCGTTCACAGGCCTAAAAAACAAACAAACAATCTATGTTTAGTTGAAGGTAGCCTACCGTGAACTGCCATAAATTCCAAGAGCGCCGTAATTGCAACATATCTAGATCTGGATGCAGCAGGTGAAACTGAAATTACCTCCATGACCCCAATTCAGAGATTTTCAATTGTGAAGTTTGGGTTCAAACACTTTTCTGCCTTGTATGCACCTCTGCAGCCAACCAAAATTAGTGATTGGTCCAGTAGTTGTTATCTAGCAGACTTTTATTTTTCTCTTGACAACTGGCTGGCTGCAGAGGGTTGGGGCATGCCTGATCCAGAAAGCTTTTTAATTGTAGAATTTTTAATCAATTCATATCCACACTAGTAAGGGGCGGTATATATGGGGGTTTATTTATTTATTACACACACACACACACACACACACACACACACATATACACCCTAACCCTCAAGGGGCGTACAATCTAGATTCCCTAACTTACATTCAAACATACACATACTAGGGGGTTTAGATACACTTTAAAATAGCATCAAAGGCCTGCAACTATAGCATACAGTCAGGTCCATATATATTGGGACATCGACACAATTCTAACATTTTTGGCTCTATACACCACCACAATGGATTTGAAATTAAACAAACAAGATGTGCTTTAACTGCAGACTGTCAGCTTTAATTTGAGGGTATTTACATCCAAATCAGGTGAACGGTGTAGGAATTACAACAGTTTGCATATGTGCCTCCTGCTTGTTAAGGGACCAAAAGTAATGGGACAATTGGCTTCTTAGTTGTTCCATGGCCAGGTGTGTGTTATTCCCTCATTATCCCAATTACAATGAGCAGATAAAAGGTCCAGAGTTCATTTCAAGTGTCTATTTGAGAGTTGACAGCAACAGATTCCAAATGCAAAGAGCTGTCACTATCAGTGAAGCAAGCCATCATTAGGCTGAAAAAACAAAACAAACCCATCAGAGAAATAGCAAAAGCATTAAGCGAGGCCAAAACAACGGTTTGGAACATTTTTAAAAAGAAGGAACGCACGGGTGAGCTCAGCAACACCAAAAGACCCGGAAGACCACGGAAAACAACTGTGGTGGATGACCGAAGAATTATTTTCCTGGTGAAAAAAACACCCTTCACAACAGTTGGCCAGATCAAGAACACTCTCCAGGAGGTAGGTGTATGTGTGTCAAAGTCAACAATCAAGAGAAGACTTCACCAGAGTGAATACAGAGGGTTCACCACAAGGTGTAAACCATTGGTGAGCCTCAAAAAACAGGAAGGCCAGATTAGAGTTTGCTAAACGACATCTAAAAAAGTTCACAGTTCTGGAACAACATCCTATGGACAGATGAGACCAAGATCAACTAGTACTAGAGTGATGGGAAGAGAAGAGTATGGAGAAGGAAAGGAATTGCTCATGATCCTAAGCATACCACCTCATCAGTGAAGCATGGTGGTGGTAGTGTCATGGCGTGGGCATGTATGGCTGCCAATGGAACTGGTTCTCTTGTATTTATTGATGATGTGACTGCTGACAAAAGCAGCAGGATGAATTCTGAAGTGTTTCAGGTAATATTATCTGCTCATATTCAGCCAAATGCTTCAGAACTCATTGGACGCCGCTTCACAGTGCAGATGGACAATGACCCAAAGCACACTGCAAAAGCAACCAAAGAGTTTTTTAAGGGAAAGAAGAGGAATGTTATGCAATGGCCAAGTCAATCACCTGACCTGAATCCGATTGAGCATGCATTTCACTTGCTGAAGACAAAACTGAAGGAAAATGCCCCAAGAACAAGCAGGAACTGAAGACAGTTGCAGTAGAGGCCTGGCAGAGCATCACCAGGGATGAAACCCAGCGTCTGGTGATGTCTATGCGTTCCAGACTTCAGGCTGTATATGACTGCAAAGGATTTGCAACCAAGTATTAAAAAGTGAAAGTTTGATTTATGATTATTATTCTGTCCCATTACTTTTGGTCCCTTAACAAGTGGGAGGCACATATGCAAACTGTTGTAATTCCTACACCGTTAACCTGATTTGGATGTAAATACCCTCAAATTAAAAAGCGACAGTCTGCAGTTAAAGCACATCTTGTTTGTTTCATTTCAAATCCATTGTGGTGGTGTATAGAGCCAAAAATGTTGAATTGTGACGATGTCCCAATATTTATGGACCTGACTGTAGTTACAACATGTGTAAAATGTGTCTCAAAACAAATACAATACAAGACAGTATATTATCTTACATTGTAAAATTATCCACCCCACTCACCTAAATACCAATTACGTAGCGAGGTCATAACAAAGAACCTGATTGCCTGGTTGGATCCTTGCTTTAGAATGGTTGGGGTCAGCCCTTGATAGGTACCACGTAATCCTAGAAGAGATGAAACATGAACATTAATAGAAAGTCAATTGTATTCCCCCAACATACAACATATTGGGTTGCACTGAAATGAAAAAATGAAAATGACCAAATTAAAAAAAAAGCACAGGTAACCGCAAACTAATATTAGAGTTTTTGTGATGCTGGCGATTTAAAACAACCTGACAGTTTTTTTTATGCCTCTTGTGGCTTGATACTTGCAGAGTACTTGCTGCAGCCATTAACAGGGGTACCATTCTCTGTTAATGTTTTTTTAATTTTTATACTGTAGAGAATGCAAAAGTGAGTACTGGAACATTCAAAATGTGGACAGGAACAACCTTAACTCCTAGAATGCAAAAAACATTATCCATGACAAAAAAGGAAGCCAGGGGCCAACTCCATTACCTTTTATAACCAAAATATCATTTTTGTGTGGCCAGAGCCTTTATTAAAGGCAGCTTAGAAGACCATTTTAAGCTACAGGTAGCTATGATTTTTGCTGAGAAAACTTCCATAAGATTAATCTGCACTTTTATCTACATAAATAGAGAACCACCCTATACCAACATATAAACACAGTACAAGATACAGCTTATAGCCCATTTAGGACATGCGTAAAACTTGTTATATACTGCAAACTCATTTTTAAATATAGTAATAATGTCATAAATTTTCAAAAAAACTACACAAGGGGATTACTTTGAAAGTACTTTTGCCTGGAGATGGGCTATAAATGAAAAAACAAAATTATTTGGAGGGTAAAATGTAAAATATTTTAAATTAAAATAAACATGGTATTGCACAGAGCAGCCCAGATGCTTCTCTTCTAGGGTACCCCGCCGGCGCTCCAGGCTCCTGGACTGCACCTGTGTGGGTTCGCTCCTGAGCCGCCCTGTCTCCGTTCATTGACAGAGTGGGTGTCTCGGCCCCGCCCCCCACTAGCTTGGCACGGCCTTTGATTGACAGCAAGCGGGAGCCAATGGCTCCCACTGCCATTAATCTGTCCAGGGAGGAGGGAGACAGGCAAGAGCCATTGCCCTCGTCCACATCCCTGGATCGGACTCAAGTAAGTATAGAATCCATATTAGGTGAAAAACCTTAAGACTTTAGAATCGCTTTAAATCTGAGATTACTAAAAAATGTTTTTAAACAATACCCCAGTAATTTAAGATTATTCTAGTTGGGAATCACTCCCCAGCAACAATTGCTTAGATATCTGTGATCATGGTAGTTACCTTGCTCTCGAATGATCTCCCGTACTCCATGGTAGAACCCACGATACCTAGGCGCATTTGAGGCTTGGTCATGGATGAATTTTACCTGAAACATGCATAAAATGAACAGGCACAACTTGTTTTCCACTAGAATAAAGAAAAACTAATAAGATTCTAACATTAAAAGGGTTTATCCACTCAAAGCCAACAAGTCAGTTGTTGTTAGATCCTGAATAATTTGGCTTTCCAAGAATTTGGAGGTGAAAAAAAAAAAACAAAACAAAAAAAAACAAAAAAAAAAAATAAAAAAAAAAACTTTAAAATAGAAATAAACCTAATATTAAAAATTGCAATCAGGCAGCTCTTTATTGCAGAAAAGACGTGTGATTTTTTTTTCTGAAATAAAAGATACACTTGCCTTTCTACTCTCAGACTTCTAATGAACGTATACTGAGCTGTGCGCACACGCAGCACAGCATGCATTCCAGCTTTGCAAAAATGATTGACTCCCCTGCGCATGTGTGGAATGACATCATCTCATGATGTGTAATATATATATATATATATATATATATATATATAAATATATATATATATATATATATATATATATATATATACATACACACACACACACACACACATATACACACACCAGATATAAATTATATAATATATATATATATATACAAATTAATATATCTGTGTGTGTGTATATATATATTGTGTGTGTGTATGTATATATAATATATATAATATAAATATATATATATATATATATTATATAAATATTATACATATACATATACATACACACACATATACACACACACACATATACACACACACACACACACACAATATATATATATACATACACACACACACACACACACACACACACACACATACATATATACACACAAAATACATATATACTCATACATACACACACTTGCATCAGCAACTAAATTTGAGACCTGTGTGACAATTTAATGTGCCCTATAATGGACTGGAGTGCATTCTTGCAGTCCCAACCATGCCAGGAATCAGCAGTTTTGGGGGGGGGGGGGGGGGTGGGGGGGGGGGGGGGACTTTATTCAATACAGTGGACCTTCCACACAATGCTGATCCCATGTGTAGATAAACCAAGAAAACACAACAACATTTCCCCTTTAATCAGTGTTATTGCGATATTTGTAATCAACATTATAGAAAGCAGTTCGAAAATTTGGCAGGCATTGTGAAAATTCTTCCACGAGGTTATGTTTGGCACATTACATTAAAAAAGAAGGGAAGCCGGTAAAATGTAAAATGTAAAGCAAAAATCAACTGTTTCAGCTTAAAGTGGAGTTCCACTCAAAAGTGGAAACTCCGCTTGTTTGCCGCCTCCTCCCCCCCTCCACTGCCATATTTGGCACCTTTTGAGAGGGAGCAGGTACCTGGTTTTGAAGTAGTAAGCCGGAAGTTCGGCCCCTTCCTTCCTCACGCAGTCTCCTGGGAGCCTTCACAGCTTCCAGAAGACTGCCAAACCAATCAGAATGCGCAGTGCGACTTGCGCATGCGCAGTGGGCACTCGGCTGTGAAGCCACAAGCAGTAACAGCTCGGTGTCCCCAGTTGTGATGCCGGCACCAAGGAGAGAAGAGACAGAAGGGACAGCGCAGGGGAGCATATCACTGGACTCTGGGACAGGTAAGTGTGTGTTTATTAGAAGTCAGCAGCTACAGTTTTTGTAGCTGCTGACTTTTAATAAAAACACAAAACTGATGATTGGAACTCTGATTTAAGCAAGAGAAGGCAGATTTGTATTGTAAGCAAATATAGACAGATCACACATACAATCATATACCTTGATAGTTTCCATTGGACAGACGATCAGGATAGCCTCTGCAACACCTGCCCTAACCCACACATGAAGCTGGATTTTCCATCCAATTTTCCTGAAGCACTTCTTGCAAAACTACTCAGGAACTCAAATGTACCGAACCTGAACAGAAAAAAAAAAAAAAAGATTTCTCTTTCATTGCAGGCTATGGAGATTTGATATAAATTCATACGAACATACACAGTATGAGTGCACATTATGTGTTTTACTGATTCTTTTAAAAATGCACACAAATGTAAAAGGGAAAGGCTGCACATCTGCAATAGAATTTGGTTAGATGTGCACAGCTGACGAAAAACTATTAGAGTTCATTTGAACCAATTCCAGTGCAATTCTGTTTTCCTTGTAGGTTATCTAAACCCAAGGAAAAAAAAAAAAAATATACTATATTGCAGCTCATCAGTCTTTTGAAGATGTATCTGCATTAGGTTTTTTTTCCATAGTTTACAAAAGATAACCTGGAAGGCTGATAATTTTGTTTGAGATTTCAATGTGGTCAACAGGAAGATACAAGGACATTGGATTTCTATCAGAATTGCCAGGTACTTTTCTGTACTTGCATAAAATGTACTTAGTCTGAAAAAAAAAATGAATGCAGCCACAACATTTAAGGACCGGTAAGCTGCAATATATTCCAATTCATCTCAAGCACCTTGATCTGCCCCTCTCCATCACTGCTAGGTAGCAGCCACATGGGAGTCTAGAAGGAAATCTCAGAGAACCCAGGAGATCAAGGCGGAATGCACAGAACCCAGCATTCAATCATATTTTGGAATGGAGCTCTATAAGTACACCTAATCCTAAAAAGAAGAATTTTGATGTACCTGTAAATTCCACATCTTGAAGTACAGTACAGGACACAGCCAAAGTATTCATGGACCCTAAATTATAGGTTCATACCTTCAGGTGATTGGACACATTAAAAAAAAAATTTTGAAGCCACTCCCACTGGGATGGAACCAAGTTCAGATACCAAGGGAGCACAGGATGTTGCAATGGGAGCCAAATGCAAGCTACTCCTAGATTGTAAGCTTGAAAGCTTGAAAGAGCAGGGCCCTCAATCCCCTCATGTTTTGCATTGTATTGGTATTGTTCTGTCACATGTTCTGTCCCCCTTTGTAATGTACAGCGCTGAGCGAACTATTGGCGCTTTATAAATACTGTATAATAATAATAATAATAATACAACTTGAATAAGGGTTCTGAAATGGAAGAGGGAAGCCAGAGCCTTTTGAAAAAGAATGGACAAGGCTGTGAATGGGAATACAGGGTCGTGTTGGTTGTTCATTCACCTATGCCAGTTTGACATACTGAAATTGTTGCAAAAGCTGGTTTGCAGCACTGGGCCTGCCACCGTGTCCAGAAGGAGAACACCAAGGTGCATACCATACTGCAGTGGATTCTGGTGTTGAAAGGGCAGGAGAATGTGCCCGAGTACCTTACAGAGTTCTAGTGGGAAGTGGCAGTAAAGTGTGTGATCTGTAACACCTGGTCATCCACTTGAGACTAATCTCTGAATGGTTGAGTTTTAGTGCCAAATTTAAAAAAATTATAGTGCAAGGAGTACAATTATAGCCCTGATGTTTTACAATAATAGTCACGATACAGATTACTGTCTTAGCTGTCTCCAAACACTGAACTTTATATAAACTCCAGGCTTAACACATACAATGTGCATACCCCAAATGGGTCTTCAAGGGGCTGGATTCCATAGATATGGACCATGACCCTGGACCTGTATAACATCCTGCAGCTGACTACATGCACTGCACTAAGTGCCAAGGTGAGCGCCACTGCAAGATCCAGTGTTCGAGGCAACAATACGCCATTGCCTCAGCACTGCGTCCTGGTACAGATCCCGAGGATTTATCAAGATAACAGCTATCCGGGTGCACTGCTTCTATCTGTGGCATTTGAAGACAATAAGGGGATGACTTCATAATATGAAGATAAAATAAGAAGTACAATAATAAACTAGTTAAGCTATGAGGGACTTCTTTGTGAAGATGTTTATCACCTTAGGACACCAGCAAAAAACTGAGGATTCATGGAGTGGGGCAGGGTTATAGGGAAGATGCCCAGTTGGTGGTGTCCTTGAAAGCTTTACCAGTGTCCAATTACCTGAAGGTACAAGTCTAACTCAAATTCCATGAATATTTGGTCCTGTACTGTACAATTAAGATTAAAAAAAAAATGTATTATATTGCAAGCTTGCCAGTCCTTAGATGTGGTGGCTGCATTAGTTTTCTTTGTATTAACAATTTGTATTGATTTTCACATACATACACACACACACACATATATATTATTATGTGTATATATATATATATACACACATATATATATACACATATACATATATATACACACACATACATATATACACACACACACACACACACACACACACACACACACACACATATATACACATACACACACACACGCGTTGAAAGAGAACAAAATAAAAAGAAGCACATCGATGGTAAAATCTGCATGGTTACAAACATAATAACGTCACATAGCTACAGTGGAGAAAGGTGGGAAGGGAAGAAATTATCCCATGGGTGCCACACTGCCTCGAACACAGCTGTTGAGTCGGAATGTATAGCAGTCAGGTATTCCATCTGTCGTACATCAGCAATAATTTTAGACAAAGTTGACATCGAAGGCAGAATAGCAGATAGCCAACACATAGGAATGCTTCTGGCCACAGTCAAAATATGTGTGGAGAGTTTCCTGGACACTTTGGGAAGACCTGGGAACGGCAAGCACAATAAAAAGTATAGGGGCTCAAAGGGGAGAGAGGTATGTAATAATTGTAAAAAAGACAAAACCTCTTCCCAAAAAGGGACAATGGATCCACAAGTCCAAAAAATGTGAAAGAGGGAGCCAAAGTCTTTCCCACAACACCAGCAGACAGAAGAAGCATTCGGGTTAAAAGTATGAATAACCTCAGGGGTTTTGTACCACAACATCAGAATTTCGTATGTATTTTCTTTATAAACCACACAGACAGAAGATTTAGATGCGTTTTCCCAAATTTTCTTCCACTGTGTTAGATCGATGTCAGATTGCAAAAACTGGGACCACTTGCGCATGTAATGTTGAGTGTCGTTAGAGAGGGGGGGGGTAGCGTCCATTAAGAGTTTGTATGTATTGGAAATTATACCCCTTTGATGTGGGCCCTGTATACATAGACGCTCAAAAGGGAGAGGGTTTCCCAAGAGTCAAAGTGGGGGACATGGTGGAGAAAAAAATGGCGTAGCTGAAGGTATATATAAAAATGTTGGGAGGGCAGATCTTTTTTTCTGGAGGTAGGAGAATGGTTGCATCTTCCGAGTAACAGGGTGTACTAGGTGGCGCAATTGGAAGAGCCTGGCCTTGACCCAAGGGAGCATCCGGGACACAGCCAAACTATCTGCAAGATTGGGGTTAAAGAGGATATTAGTCAGTGTAGAAGGAGTCCGAGGTTAGTGCAAACCTGGTCCTACATTTCTGCCAAATACTCATGGAAAATTGTATGGAGCCAAGGAAGAGACGACGGAAAGGGGCAAGATCCACCGCCGAGGATGACCAGGAGGAGAGAGCAAGGATGAGTTGGAGTCAATTGTAAGGACTCGATCTCAGTAAACAGATTGGGAGGAAATTGGGTGGACCATGACGGAATGAAACGGAGGTGAGTAGCACAATAGTAGGTCACGATATCTGGTGCCCCTTGCATTAGTTTTCTGGTTTTAACTTTTTGTTTTCCATTACTTTCACCTGGCAATCTGGCCAATAACACACTTCCTGTCTTAGGGAGGCGGCTCTATCTGTGGTGGAGCAATGAAGGCACCCTTAGGACAGGAGCATTGTCTGGGAAGTGTAGTGTTAGAAAGACTAGTAAATCTCAGATGGACTTTACATGACTGACTAAAGCTAGCCATAGATGGATCGAAATGTATCCAGTTCCAAACCACTGTGTGGCTATCCATGACTGACTTCTGTCAAACAGACAAGCTGGATAACTTTTTCCAGTGGTTGAAGCCAATGATCAGTGTATTGTGACAGCAAAAAGGTCCCACAGTCAGAGTACAAGGTCCCAGCTGGGGGCATTCTTCCATCTCATCTTGTTTGTGTGCCTGGAGGAATATGTTCATTTTTTTTTCATTAAGACCAGAAAAAAAAAAAAAAAAAAAAAAAAAAAGGAGGGAGAACCATCCATGGTAAGGTAAGGTTCAGGTAATAAAACTATGATACAGGGGGGACTCAGAAAAACAAAAATACTGCTTTGTTAATGCATCATATGGCATTTTTGATTTTGCATTTGATGCACTTTTTTTTCACAGTGCATGTCTTGTTATGATCCCAGAAAGATATTACAGTGCATCCAGAAAGTATTCAGTGCTTAACGTTTGCAACATTTTGTTATGTTACAGCCTTATTCCAAAATGGATTCAATTCATTGTTTTCCTCAACATTCTACAAACAATACCCCATAATGAAATCTTTGCAATTTATTAAAAATAAAAACCCACATGTACATAAGTATTCACAGCCTTTGCCATGACACTCAAAATTGAGCTCTGGAGCATCCTGTTCCCACTGATCATCCTTGAGATGTTTCCAAAACTTGACTGGAGCCCACCTTGTGGGAAATTCAGTTGATTGGACATGATTATGAAAGGCATAAACCTGTCTATATAAGGTCCCACAGTTAACAGTGCATGTAAGAGCACAAACCAAGTCCAAGGAATTGTCCGTAGACATCCGAGACAGGATCATATCAAGGCACAGATCTGGGGAAGGGTACAGAATAATTTCTGCAGCATTGAAGGTCCCAATGAGCACAGTGGCCGCCATCATCCGTAAATGGAAGAAGTTTGGAACCACCAGTAATCTTCCTAGAGCAGGCCGCCTGGCCAAATGAGCGATCGAGGGAGAAGGGCCTTAGCCAGGGAGGTAACCAAGCACCCAATGGTCACTCTGAAAGAGCTCCTGCGTTTCTCTGTGGAAAGAGGAGAAACTTCCAGAAGAACAACAGTCACTGCAGGACTCCACCAATAAGGCCTGTATGGTAGAGTGGCCAGACAGAAGCCACTCCTCAGTAAAAGGCAAATGGCAACCCACCTGGAGTTTGCCAAAAGGCACCTGAGGGACTCTCAGACCATGAGAAACTAAACTCTCTGGTGTGATGAAACACAGATTGAACTCTTTGGCCTGAATGCCAAGCGTCATGTCTGGAGGAATCCAGGCACCACTGACCACCTGGCCAATACCATCCCTACAGTGAAGCATGGTGGTGGTGGCAGCATCATGCTGTGGGGATGTTTTTCAGTGGCAGGAACTGGGAGACTAGTCAGGATCAACGGAAAGTTGAATGCAGCAATGTACACACATCCTTGATGAAAACCTGTTTCAGAGCGCTCTGGACCTTAGACTGGGGCGATGGTTTATCTTTCAACAGGACAATGACCCTAAGCAAACAGCCCACTTAACAAAGGAGTGGATACGGGCCAACTCTGTGAATGTCCTAGAGTGGCCCAGCCAGAGCCCAGACTTGAACCCGATTGAACATCTTTAGAGAGATCTGAAAATGGCTGTGAACGGACGCTTCCCATCCAACCTAATGGAGCTTGAAAAGGTACAGCAAAAAAGAATGGTAGCAATTGCCCAAAAATAGGTGTGCCAAGCTTGTAGCATCATACGCAAAACGACTTGAAGCTGTAATTGGTGCTAAAGGTGCTTCAACAAAGTATTGAGCAAAGGCTCTGAATACTTATGTACATGTGGGGTTTTTTGTTTATTTTTAATGAATCGCAAAAAACTAACTTCTTTGACGTTGTCATTATGGGGTATTATTTGTAGAATGTTAAGGAAAAAAATAAATGTAATCCATTTTGGAATAAGGCTGTAACATAACAAAATGTGGCAAAAGTTAAGCGCTGTGAATACTTTCTGGATGCACTGTATTTTCTGCAAAAGTATTTTTTTCCATATATCTACTTTTTATTCTTTAAAAAAAAAAGCAAATAAAAAAAAGAAGGTCTCCAACTTACTCCTTTTAAACATCATGTTCAACTTACTCCTCCTAAACATGGCATTAGTTCCTTGGGTAATCTGAATTCCATGTTTATTTCATTAGTTGTTATGGTATGGATTTCATACCTTACTGCAGACTTGGGAATGGATCCATACAGCAGTGAGCTAAGCCCTCGATATAAGCCTCGGATTCCATGATCCTGTACAGTAAGCTTGACACAGTGCCCTGTGGGTGACATGAGAGGTAAATAGGCTGTCCATTACTACAATCATGTAAAATGCAATCACACCTTCTTACCGATTCCTCTACTATACCGGGGTGGATTGGCTTTCTCATCTAACTGAAGCTGAGTCTTGACGTACTCTGTAGGGAATGTGATGCAGATTTCAATACCCCCTGCAATTCCACCTAGGAGAGATAAAATAGGGAATGAAAAGTGATTTCCCAGATATGGTAGGAGTGTGGTAGCGCTGGACCAGTCAGTCTCAACTAGGGTTCCTCCAGAGGTTGCTAGGGGTTCCTTGAACTGCAGTTGATTCACCTCCCATTTGATGGTACCTGCATAGTTCCTGGGCCAATGACACTTGAAAGAGCCAATAGGAAGACACCAATGATCTTTTCAGCAAGACACCAATGATCTTTTCAGCAGTCTGTAAAAGGTGGCATTCTGACTACCAGTTTCTTCTCACTGGCCACTACTGTAAGGGGACATTGTTCCCACTGATATCAGATAAATTGGTTTTAGCAGGGGTTCTTCTAGACCTAAAAAATGTTTTCAAGGGATCTTTAAGATAAAAAGGTTGAGAATGGCAAAAAAAAATAAAAATATATAATCATCGCTTTTTATCCACCCTGCTTAAAGAAGACCCCTTTCCATTTCATGTTGTCAGCAATGGTACCATATAGAAGAGCAATGTCACAAGTCCGGAGTAAGAAAATACATTTCTTTACACAAGAAAGGTGAAGGCTACAAGAAGATCAGCAAAGCTTTACTTAGTCAGAATACTGTAGCAAAAGTGATACAAACATTTAACAAAAGATGAAACTGCAACCATCTCACAGAGACGTCCAGGGCGTCCCAACATACATTTCGTCCTAATGGACGTTCTATTCGCCTTGAGAACGTCCATTCGAAAGAAACGTACATTGGGGAGGAGAAGCCCATGTTGACATCATCCCCTGTCTGCTGGAGCCGGCACCAGCAGCTTTTATATATGCAAGTGTTTATCAGCATTTTGTAAGTAGAATCTTGGATTTTTTTAATAAATCTTTCCAATAGAACTTCACTATGGAGATTCGCTTTCATGTTTTGAGCCAATAAAGATCGAGAGGCGATCGTAGCACCTGAACATCGTTGGAGTGGAATACGCATTGGAGTATACACAGCTTCATGCCTTTGCAGGCCTCCTATCTAAGGTCTGTGTTTCTGGTAAGGGGCTGGGTTTGACGGTGGTGGATACACTGTTCACAATGATTGATTTACTAAGACACTTAATCACTGGAGATTTTATTTATTTATGAACTCATTTGATATATTTGTCATGGTTTTCCAATGGACTCAATTTATATGACACTTAATGTATGATCTTTAAGTTTATATATTCAGTGCCACATATTTTTGGAAAAATATTAACTTTACTTTCATGTAACAAGCTAAACAAAAGTTCTATAAAACTCTGTTTTGTCAACACTTTGGAAATTGTTCTAGTGTTCACTGAGATAGCGATTAAAAATCTTACTTTTCAAAAGGGGTGTACTCATTAATGCTGGTGCACTTGTATACCAGGAAGTGATTAAAAAAAAAAAAAAAAAATCAAAGTTGTACAAAAAAAAAAACAAAACAAAAAAAAACAAAAACAAACAGAAGTTAACTGCTTCATTATAATTGTATTAAGAGACAACTTCTTAAAAGGTTAAGCACAAAATGACCAGTTAGAATGTGCCAAGCTTGACTTTGTTTTCAATGGAGTAACAAAGGTTTAGAACCCCTGTCAGGTTTTATTAAGGTCTCTCCTCTCCTATTTGTACGGAGTATGGCAAGTGAGGAACAATCTAAAAATTGCTGTCACTGTCAGGAAGAGAGGAAAAATATTCCGATGGAAATACTTGTTCTGGTGACAACCTCCTAAGAGAGGATATTCCCTACCTTGTCTTGTGCCCCAAGACAATTTACTAAAACCAAAGCGTACAAAATCTGGTGCAGCTGTGCATTGTAGCCATTGTATCAGCTTCTAACCCCAGTGGTTTTTCTAACCTTCAGCGTGCAGCGCCCCCCACCCATTCCTCACCTGAGCCCCCTCCAATCCAGTGATGTTCACAATGGCCTCGGCTGTGTGGGGACTCTCCTCATTGGCGGAGACAGCAGTGGGAGCCCATTGGTTCTTGCTGCTTTAAGAGACAGAGGGGAGAGCGGTGGCACGGCCGAGCAGCGGCTCTGTGTGTGTTATGGACTCAGAGCAGCAGCTCAGGAGCGAGAAACATAGCAATGTGCCCAGGGCAAGCAGCTTTCTCTGGGGGCACTGCTGGAGGGGGAGGAGCAAGAGCATCGATGGGGAACCTGAAAAGAAGAGGATCAGGGCAGCTGTGTGCAGAACTACTGCACAGAATAGAAGTACGACATGTTTTTTATTTTTAGAACAAAAAAAAATATAAAAATAAAAAAATTCAACTTTAGTATTACTTCAAGCTTTGGCAATAGTACCTGGAAGCTGATTAGTTACTAAGCAGGACTGCACCAGATTTTCTAAAATAAGCCAGTGATTGGACTGAAGCTGGCCATAGATGAAAACTGCAATGATGATGCTGCAACTGCCAATTAACATACATTTTCCAACTGGTTCATTTGCCAGAAGTTGACCTAACCATTGACTTCTGTTGAACAGAGACTGCTACACTGAATGAAACTCATCTGGTCTCCGCTGAACATCCATCTATGGACTCCTTAAAAGGATACGTTCACCTTTGGTAACACATGACAGGCATATTTAGGGTGTAACATGTTACCAAACATCACCTGCCAGCATCCCCCTCCCCCCAGTCCCTCATTGTGACAGGAGGCAGGGGATCCTCTTTCTGAACCCACTGTCATAATTAACAAACAGCGCGCTGTGCGGTGTTCCACCCACACAGCCACATCGTTCATTTACAGTTTCCCATGAATGGATGAACTACAACTACCATTTTCCATTGCAGCAGACAGCTTGTAGACATAAATGAACTGTGAGGGCACTGATGATCACTCTCATTCATTGATTTTTCCTGGACTTCAGCAACTGTCTGCCTGTACGGGAGGTACGGGCAGACAGCAGATTGAAAATTTGCAGGATCCTGGCATTCCACCCATGATCTGGTGCAATGCTTTACAGCAGCGGGTCGCGACCCCTTTGGGGGGGTCGAACGACCATTTCCCAGGGGTCGCCTAAGACCATCGGAAAACACATATTTCCGATGGTCTTAGGAACCGAGACACCGCTCCCGTCTCCGGCGATGTGTGGGCGGGATGATATGCTGCCCCTGTCACCGCCTCCTCGCCGCTGATTGGCCACCGGAACTGTAGCTCAGGAGAGGCACACAGGCGGCCAATCACCGGCGAGGAGGTGGAGCTTGGAGAGGAGGAGCCGAGCGGCAGCGCACATAGATCAAAGAAGATCGAGGGAGCTGCAGGAACGAGTGAAGAGAGCGGCCAGAGAAGGAAGACAGCTGACAGGTAAGTGCAAATTTTGCTGCTGCAGCCAGGTATGCAGGCTGTAGATGGGAGAGGGAGAGAGCGAGCCCAGGCTGGAGCAGGGGTCAGCAAGGTAAGTATCATTGGTGTCAGTGGAGCGATAGTGCCCCATCATTGGTGTCACTAATACCAACGATGGGGCACTATTCCTCCCCCACTGACACCAACAATGAGACGCTATTCCTCCCTCCACTGACACCAACGATGGGGCACTATTCCTCCCCCCACTGACACCAACGATAAGACACTATTCCTCCCCTCACTGACACCAACGATGGGGCACTATTCCTCCCCCCACTGACACCAACGATGGGGCACTATTCCTCCCCCCACTGACACCAACGATAAGACACTATTCCTCCCCTCACTGACACCAACGATGGGGCACTATTCCTCCCCCCCACTGACACCAACGATGGGGCACTATTCCTCCCCCCACTGACACCAACGATGGGGCACTATTCCTCCCCCCACTGACACCAACGATGGGGCACTATTCCTCCCCCCACTGACACCAACGATGGGGCACTATTCCTCCCCCCACTGACACCAACGATGGGGCACTATTCCTCCCCCCACTGACACCAACGATGGGGCACTATTCCTCCCCCTGGCACCCACAATGGGGCACTATTCCTCCCACTGACGCCAATGATGGGGGCACTATTCCTCCCACTGACGCCAATGATGGGGCACTATTCCTCCCACTGATACCAATGATGGGGCACTATTTCCTCCCACTGATACCAATAATGGGGCACTATTCCTCCCACTGATGCCAATGATGGGGCACTATTCCTCCCCACTGATGCCAATGATGGGGCACTATTCCCCCCACTGACAACACCAATGATGGGGCACTATTCCTCCCACTGACGCCAATGATGGGGCACTATTCCTCCCACTGACGCCAATGATGGGGCACTATTCCTCCCACTGATACCAATGATGGGGCACTATTCCTCCCACTGATACCAATAATGGGGCACTATTCCTCCCACTGATGCCAATGATGGGGCACTATTCCTCCCACTGATGCCAATGATGGGGCACTATTCCCCCCACTGACGCCAATGATGGGGCACTATTCCTCCCACTGACGCCAATGATGGGGCACTATTCCTTCCACTGACATCAATGATGGGGCACTATTCCTCCCACTGACGCCAATGATGGGGCACTATTCCTCCCACTGACGCCAATGATGGGGCACTATTCCTCCCACTGACGCCAATGATGGGGCACTATTCCTTCCACTGACACCAATGATGGGGCACTATTCCTCCCACTGATACCAACGATGGGGCACTATTCCTCCCACTGATACCAACGATGGGGCACTATTCCTCCCCACTGACATCAGTGATGGGGCGCTAGTCCTCCCACTGCAAAATTACAGTTATGAAGTAGCAACGAAAATAAATTTTATGGTTGGGGGTCACCACAACATGAGGAACTGTATTAAGGGGTCACGGCATTAGAAAGGTTGAGAAACCACTGCTTTACAGGCTGCAGAGTTGTTTTTATTACCTGCAAGATGTGCATTTATTATTTTTTTTTTTTTTTTGCTTGGCTTTTAAGGACTACCAATCAGAAAACACATTCTGCATAAACATGCAGTAGATATTTACAAAAATATCAGAGAACAGTCATATCAGATTTAATCAGCTGATATTATTAACAG